ATGCCACCATAGAGAAGGAGTGCCTGGCCATAGTGTGGGCATTGAATAAACTTCAACCCTATTTATATGGCCGGGAGTTCACCATCCTCACGGACCATAACCCCCTCACCTGGCTGAATCGGGTCTCCGGGGATAATGGCCGCCTCTTATGATGGAGCCTGGCCTTACAACCCTACAATTTCACTATCCAATACCGACGGGGGAGGCAGCACCACAATGCAGATGGGCTGTCCCATCAGCAAGACCCCCAGTAAATGCAGTCCACAAGTGCCTCTATGGGAACCTGTTGATGTTCCCCCTGGTGGCACTTGAAGAATGGAGGGGGGAGGTTGTCACGGAGCTGGTCCTTCCTCCCCAATCCTCTAGGTTTGCTGCCTGCCACCCCCCACTCCTCAGCAGCCCCTCACTCTTCTGTCCGTCCATGCTGGGACTTCTAGTCCTCCATGTCTCTGACAAAGGCAGCCCTCAGCAGCCCCTCACCCCCCTGTCCCTGGCAGTCTGGCCCCCTGCTGAGGGAATCCACAAACAGGTCCCCCTCCTCCCTTCCCCCTCATGCACATCTTCCTAGGCTCCATGCCGGAGACAGGATCCGTTGCCATGGTAACCCAACAGGAAGTTTCGGGTTACCACTGCAGCAGCAAGTTGCCCAGCTCTCTACTTAAGAGAGAGCAAAAAAAAAAAACCCTGTGTGTTCTCCTGGCTGCGTGTGTGAGAGAAGGCTGTGCTGAGGGCCAGCTTCTCTCATCCGACCATCCCCCGTCCTCCTCCTCATCTCCCTGACTGATCTGACTGCCCGTCTGCTGCTGGATCCTCTCGGGTGTGGGTTTAACTCTCTGCTGCCTGGAACCCCTTCCCTGCCTGGACTTACCTCTTGTTCCCTGTGAGCCTGTGGGCTGGACATTTTCCCTGCCTGGATTGAACTCTTTGTTGCCCGTGAGCCGAACGGACTTAACCCTTCCCTGCCTGGAGCTGCCTGTGTGGATTAACCCTGTGTTGCCGGTGTGGACTGTGTCCGGCTCCCCACATCCAGTAAGTGGACTAACCCCGTGCTGCCCAAAAGACTGAGCCCAATTCTCCCCAGGAACCCGAAGTCCCACAAAACCACCCCGCCCTTGCCTTACTGAACATTGTGGATTACCATAACCCTGTTGTTCCATATTGCCTCCCAAAGAACTTTACTGTGTTACTGGGTCTGGTGTGGATCTGTGGACTAAACGGAACTGTTGTCTGTGCCCCAAAAACCTCCCCAATAAAAGCCCACTCATTGGGTTCCGTGCAATCTGTCTCTGTGTGCTCTCTGGTTCTCTTGACAGTGCTTGACTCCCATTCTTTCTACTAGTGAAGTGTCAGCAATGGAGGTAAGCTCTGTGCTGGTGCTAGGGATTTGCAAAAACTGCTGGGCTATTATAGAAGTGAAAAAAATCTGCAATGGGCATATCTCTCCTTTTTACATGTAGCATTAGCAATGACTGTGAGAAATTGGGTTTAAAATTACTGTCCAATTTCTCAGTCAGGACAGTGCTACATGAAAATGGAGATTTTACTTCTATCTACATTTTTTAGAAAAAAGTGTTGTTGGCTGACAAAGATGGTATCTCCGTTTTCATGTAACATTTTTCTGACTGTGAGAAATTGGACATTGTAGTTTTAAACCCAATTTCTCACAGTCAGTGCTTGCCGACGCCATCACTAAGGCCCCGCTTCGCGCACCGCATTTTTTACAATTGATGTTCCTGGCTATGTTCTCTTTCCGAGAGACGGAGTAAATAGGAAAGGTGGTGGTGTCTGTCTCTGTGACGAGTGATCTCAGAGCGAGTGTGAAAGAGGACCTAGTTGATGGAGAGTTTGATGAGGCTGAAGTATTATGGGTGGAACTGCACATGGGGGGCGGTACTACAAAGGTAATCATTGGAGTTTGCTATAGGCCTCCCAGTGTTAATGAGGAGGTGGAAACTCAGCTCCTCGCACAGATGGAAAGGGCTGCAAGGGCTGGGACAGTGATAATAATGGGGGATGGTAACTACCCGGAAAGTGACTGGAGTAATGGTACTGCAGGAACAGGTAGCCTCCCTAGCGGTCTGATTATGTCCATATTTCTGTGCCCAAAGCGGTACATTTTTTTTGCATGGAAATATGTCTTTTTTTATTGTAGGCCTGTACAGGTAATTTTTAGGAATAACTCACTGAAATCTGTCCGAACAAGAGTCTAATAAACACCCCGGGTATGTTAAAATTTGAAACACGAAATCATAAATTATAATTTAATAAATAATCATAAAAAATAATAATATAATAATAATAAATTTAATTCAATAATATAATCAAACCAAAAACACTGAAATGTGAAATAGAGCGCCAAGTTCGCACATCGCTAAGCTCAGTCGCAGAATCGTTTTCAGTGTCTGATGAGGAATTTCCCCCACGAATCATTATCACTCAATTCTGCAAGTGGTTCTGATTTACTATCGCTGTTCTCTAGCCGGTCTAAAACCGCGTCTGACCTAAAGGGACGCTTTTTGGACGCCATGGACGTTTCTCAGTTTCCAGGCAGAAAGAACAGTAAAAATGCAGGCAGGGCGCCGGACAAAGCACTCGGGACAAAATGTATGTGAAATGGTTTGATACAGGAATAGAATACTATGTGATTTTAGTGAATGTGACTTTTAAAATTTTAAAATTTCCCACCAGTTCCGTCCCCGTACGTCCCGACGTTGCAGGGAACAGAACCCGGAAGACAGATGCCGGCATCCGCCGGAGGACATTATAGGGGACACTGCAGGAGGGACATCTCGGGAGCGCAGGACAAGGTAAGTGAAGAAGAGATCCTGGAGCAGCGCTGCAGTGTATTCCCGAGTGTAGCTCGGGGTTACCGCTTGTGGTGCTGAAACTTTACCCCGAGCTACACTCGGGAATACCGCCAGGGGGGTTAAAGGGCACAAACTTATAAACCTACTACAGGAAGATTTTATGGTACAGTTCATAGAGGCTCCAGTAGGAATGATGCTCTTCTGGATCTGGTAATGTCAAACCTGTCACGGATCCACGATCGCCGCAACTAACAGTAATACGTCACGCCCACAACGTCAGACCCCAGACCTTCTCACCAAACTCGTGACCGAAGGACCGGCCGATCTAAAACCACGGTGTGATGCACGTAACAAGGCCCCATTTAGGGTGCAGGCACCGATTGTAGCCCATTAGCTGGACAATCGCTGTGCAGGGTGCAGCTGGGTGGGGCCTTGTTACGCGCGTCACACCGTGGTTTTAGATCGGCCGGTCCTTCGGTCACGTGTTTGGTGAGAAGGTCTGGGGTCTGACGCCGTGGGCGTGACGTATTACTGTTAGTCGCGGACCGGCCGATCTAAAACCTAAAATGGGCTACAATCGGTGCCTGCAGCCTGAATGCGCTTTTTACTGGGTCAGGTTAATTACACCACTAACCCTTCACACTGCCACCACCGTCTTGAAATGTATAGAGAAGACGGACTCTGTCAGAAATACACTATAATGATTGAAAAGTCACCTGTCCAATATGGTCAATTGGGCAAGGGAGTAAACAAACACAGTAGCGTCTCTTCAAAAGGCAGGAATTCGTGAATTGCAAGTAAGCGCTTAGAAACAGTTTAACACTTTCAGAAAGAAAGATTTATTACTAAAAGAGTCAAACAGGTGCAATAAAATATTTACAAAGAGATGTCACAAAAATATATATATATATGTATATAAAGATACAGCAAAGAGGTAATGGGAAAGAAGTTACAAGGGTAAGTTACTTGCCAATTTAAGCCTTGGTTTGCAGATTCAAGTGGCAGAGCAGGGTGATTCGTGATCTCCTTTTGTTGCGATGTTCAGCTGAGGAGATCTGTTTTAATCTTAAACTAACTTGTCTCTTCTTAAAAGTCCCTCTCAAAGGGGAGGGGGGCTCTTACTACACGTTTTGGGAGTGGCCAGTGGGAAACTCAGTTAAAACTAACAGCGTCATAATCCATGACATGAAACACACAGTTGACCTGAGGAATGTAGAGAAGCTATTATCTATTTTATGATGTGGGGGCTTACACAGTTTTGGGGTCAGTGCTTCCCAATTCTCTGAGAAATGCTGCCTTATCAGACGTAGGTGAGAAAGGTTACATGTTTCCCCAGGCAACTGGCACCAAACCTGGTTGACCCACACCATCTGTCAGGAGATAACGTTTGCCTCTCAGGACTGCAGGGGGGGGTAGGAAATGAGGCTGAGGAATGAGAAATATCTCGAATAAAAAGAGAAAAAATGGAAAAGGAGAACTCTGCTCCCACTCTGATCAGCTAGTTCGCTACAAAACCATGCAAAGCTTATTACAAATGTACATATAAAAGAACATCTGGGTGGCAGTGACCATAAAATGATTTGTTGCAGTATGACCACAATTAAACAATCTTAATGAGCATAGGTTCCCACTTGCAATGGAAAGATAAATAAAGTGACAGTAGTGCAGACATACATTCACAAGGTGACTAGGTGAACTGCCCCCGCTGTGTGCACCAACCACCCGTGTCCTGAACTGTCCCCGCTGTGTGCACCGACCACCCGTGTTTTGAACTGTCCCCGCTGTATGCACCAACCACCCCCGTGTTCTGAACTGTCCCCGCTGTGTGCACCGACCAAGTGTTCTGAACTGTCCCCGCTGTGTGCACCGACCACCCATGTTCTGAACTGTCCCCGCTGTGTGCACCGACCAAGTGTTCTGAACTGTCCCCGCTGTGTGCACCGACCACCCATGTTCTGAACTGTCCCCGCTGTGTACACCGACCACCCGTGTTCTGAACTGTCCCGCTGTGTGCACCGACCACCCCATGTTCTGAACTGTCCCTGCTGTGTGCACCGACCACCAGTGTTCTGAACTGTCCCTACTGTGTGCACCGACCACCCGTATTCTGAACTGTCCCTGCTGTGTGCACCGACCACCCGTATTCTGAACTGTCCCCGCTGTGTGCACCGACCACCCGTGTTTTGAACTGTCCCTGCTGTGTGCACCGACCACCCCGTTTTGAACTGTCCCTGCTGTGTGCACCGACCACCCGTGTCCTGAGCTGTCTCTGTTGTGCGCAAAGACCACCTGGGTTATGTACTGCCCTACTACACGCCTAGACTACCCTTACTTGAACCTCCCCATGGCGTGCCCGGAGTATAGCTACCTGTGATGCCCCTGAGTGCTTGAGCCATCGCTACCCGTTGAGTCCCCGTGAACCCGATGTCCCTAGAAAGCTGGGTGGGAGCTGTGCTGAGGCCAGACTCCACAGCTAGAGTCTCGTTGAGTCCCCGAGACCCCTGCCCAGGGGTAGGTTGCCCGCCTGTTGCCCCTGTTGAGTCTCCAATCCACTGTCCAGTCACGGAGGGAGCTCGGCTGAGGCCCCAAGCCTAGGGGGGAGATTGCCTGCCTGTTGCCCAAGACCCCTGCCCAGGGGTAGGTTGCCCGCCTGTTGCCCAAGACTCCAATCCGCTGTCCAGTCACGGAGGGAGCTTGGCTGAGGCCCCAAGCCTAGGGGGGAGATTGCCTGCCTGTTGCAAAAGACCCCAGCCCAGGGATAGGTTGCCCGCCTGTTGCCCGAGACTCCAATCCGCTGTGCAGTCACGGAGGGAGCTTGGCTGAGGCCCCAAGCCCAGGGGTAGGTTGCCTGCCTGTCGCCGAAGACCCCCCGTGCCTCGAATCATCCCTAGTTTGCACACACATCACCCTCCCTGCCATTTCCCCATTGAGTGTCTGTCATTTTGTTGTTTCACTAAAACTTTGTGTGTTCCCCATCTTCTCCGTGTGCTCTGTCCTGCCTATGCCTCCGTTACAGGGGCCAAAAAGGGGTCAAAATCTTTCCCAAGTAATTATAGACCTTTTAGTGTAACTTCTATAGTTGGGAAGATACTGGAGAGTTTAAGAAAAGACCACAGAGAGGAGTTCTTGCTGGAAACAATATTTTAAACAACAGACAGCATGGATTCATGAAAGACAGAAGTTGTCAAACAAATCTGATTTCTATTTATGAGGAGGGGAGCAAAACCTTGGACAGAGGGGTGGCTGTGGATGTGATATACTTGAACAGAGGGGTGGCTGTGGACTTGGTATAATTGGACAGAGGGGTGGTGGTGGACGTAGTATACTTGGACAGAGGGGTGGTGGTGGACGTAGTATACTTGGACAGAGGGGTGGTGGTGGACGTAGTATACTTGGACAGAGGGGTGGTGGTGGACGTGGTATGCTTGGACAGAAGGGTGATGGTGGATGTCGTATGCTTGGACAGAGGGGTGGTGGTGGACGTAGTATACTTGGACAGAGGGGGTGGTGGTGGACACGGTATACTTGGACAGAAGGGTGATGGTGGATGTGGTATGCTTGGACAGAGGGGGTGGCGGTGGACGTGGTATACTTGAACAGAGGGGTGGTGGTGGATGTGGTATACTTGGACAGAGGGGTGATAGTGGGCGTGGTATGCTTGGACAGAGGGGTGGTGGTGGACGTGGTATACTTGCACAGAGGGGGGTGGCGGTGGACATGGTATATTTGGACAGAGGGGTGATGGTGGATGTGGTATACTTGGACAGAGGGGTGATGGTGGACGTGGTATACTTGGATTTTGCAAAAGCGTGTGACACAGTTCCCCACACACGGCTAATGTGTAAGGTAAAGTTTACAGGCTGGAAAAATCTGAATGTAAATGGATAGAAAACTGGCTACAAGATGGTATTCAGAGAGTAGTGGTTAATGATTCATACTCTGAATGGTCTAGGGTTGTCAGTAGGGAACCCCAAGGTTCAGTGTTATTAGTGGTGTACCCCAGAGTTCAGTGTTATTAGTGGGGTACCCCAGGGTACAGAGTTGGAACCCTTACTTTTTAATATATTTATAAACGTTATCGGGTCTGAGATTATAAATCCCATCTCGGTCTTTGCAGATGACGCCAAGCTGTGCCGGGGAATAACGTCCTTACAGGATGTCTCCAACTTACAAGCCTACCTCAATGCTCTGTGTAATTGGGGGACTATGGGGCCAGTGAGGTCTAATGTTGATAAATGTAAGGTTCTGCACTTGGGGGCTCAGAATATGCATGCATCATACATACTAGGGGGGTACAACTGAGGGGTCAATGGTGGAGAAAGATCTGGGTGGGAGTCAATGGTGGAGAAGGATCTGAGGGAATCAATGGTGGAGAAGGATCTGAGGGAATCAATGGTGGAGAAGAATCTGGGAGTTCTGATAGACCACAAGCTTAATAATGGCAGCAATGCAAAGCTGCAATTCTATTCCGGGAAGGTCCCTGTGCCACCTGGGGAAGAGGAGTATGAAACCTGGATGGAACTGGCTATGCAAGCACTAGAAGAATGGAATGTTCCAGAGGATCAAAAGAAACAGCGAATTACTGAGAGTTTGAAAGGTATTGCAGCAGAAGCCATTAGAAATCTGAAATTCAGTCAAGAGTCCTGTACAGCTTATGATTATCTTTGCATGTTACAAGATGAATTTGGACCCACAGAGAAAGCTACGTAGTTAATCTCCAAAGAAGAAAAAATAAAAAAGTGAGCGCTCTCTCAACAGCAGCCAATGCACTCAAGGTAATCACAGCAAAACCCTCAAAATACACAAGAATATAAGAAGTGCGGCGCTAATAAATATGTGTCTCAAATGAACTAAAACACAAATATAATAAGCAAAAATAAATATATCAGATGAATATATCAAATAAATAATAATGTCCAAATAAAACGCAGGATCTTGCATGAAGTGAAAAGAACCAGGATCCAACAGTAAAATTGCGCACTCACCGGACGCGCTATATAAAAGCGCATGTGTAGTATGACCACTGGAAATCCATCATACGGGGACAATAGATAGCCATCCAGGAACAGATGATCTCAGTGTAATGGACAACTTCCAGATCCAGAAATCCCCTTAAGACTGGGTGAATGATAAGTAAGGGACTCCCTCCGGTGGTGAAGATGAGAAATGGAATTACCGGACGCGCTATATAAAAGCGCATGTGTAGTATGACCACTGGAAATCCATCATACGGGGACAATAGATAGCCATCCAGGAACAGATGATCTCAGTGTAATGGACAACTTCCAGATCCAGAAATCCCCTTAAGACTGGGTGAATGATAAGTAAGGGACTCCCTCCGTTGGTGAAGATGAGAAATGGAATTACCTGAAATATGTTAGCTCCAGATAGGAGCCAAAAAACACCTCATAGTGTAGTATGTAAAAAGCAAAAACGTTTATTCCAAAAAATTTTTTGAACTTAAAAAACAGGGCAGGAACACTGTGACAGTGAACAATGAATGGGAGTGTAACTGACCCAAAAGTAAGATGGCCGCCGGGCCTCCTCGTGGCTCCAGGCGGCTGAATGTCACGCTCTGCTGGCTCCTCCTAAGGCCTTTCGTGCTCCTGCACATCATCAGAGGGGAGGCCAACAGAAGCATGACAGACCTCTCTCCCTATGTACCGTTGTGCGGCAATCGCGCATGCGCAAATCGGCGCCGCCATTTTGCCGTGGTCGGCACAAGTGCGCATGCGCGGATCCGCGGGCGCCATTTTGCCATAGGTCTGAAATCATATTTCAGACAGCACTCTCAACTAAGGGAATACTATGCCACCACAGCACACCGAAGTTGATCCTATTGAATCCAGACCTTAAGTACTCTGTGATAGTGCATGTAATACAGCACCATCGACATATTAAAGGTTATTGTCACTCATAAGGAGTCACTTTACAGGTGCCATTATATTGGAGATCTGAATGAATGTACAAATGAAATGTCATATTTAGGCATAGTCAAAAAAGCCAAAACTTAAAATACGGGCAGAGGCGCCAGTGGATCTGGCTGCAACATCAAAATATTTTATAATAATTATGTCATTTTAAATGACACAAGTCACTCGCATTGTATCACTAAATTGACAACAATCAATATTCATAAATAGACAGGTGAATGCCCAATATGCACACATATAAAATATAATACAAAAATGTGTGGAATATAATAAAAATAAAATAAACAAGAGGGATCTCCATTTTAAAGTCCAATGGTTAGAACTTGTCATAATGTTACCAGCATATTAAGGTAAAAAAGAACAAAAAATAAATCGAATGTAAAAAGTCTAAATATACGCTCCCTACACATCAAAAGACACCCTGACACTCATATTTAACACTGAGAAACCAACATGAATGGTTATGATAATTTTAACTCGCGGTAACCGCTATAGATAGCAATGATAATTTTAATCAATAATAGTAAAATGTCATTAAGAATGGCCAAAATGCAAAGAAGCGTCATCCCCTTTCAAATATCACTAAAAAATAGGGGGGGGGGGAGAGAATAAACCTAGACCAAGAAAGATAATAGGGCAAATTACAGTAATATTATGATATTATTAGCTATTGGCAATAAAACTATTGACGTCGATTTCAATGTTAAGTCCCAGAGGGTATAAAGTACCCAGCTCATATACCCATCTTGTTTCCGCCTGGGACACTGCACGTGTTTTGTTCACACCCCTCCAGTGGGGAGTGACGACGTCAATAGCGGTAAACTTAAGAGAAGTGGGATCCATATTATGATGTATTCTGTAATGGTTCGACAGGGAATGGTCTTTATACCCTTTTCTGATGTTTGCCACGTGTTCTCGCAAGCGGTCCCTTAACCGCCTTGTGGTGCGTCCCACGTACTGTTTTAGACAGGGGCATTGAAGTAAATAAACAACATATCTACTATAGCAGGAGATAAAATTCTTGATGACATATGTTCTGCCTGTTGTATGTGATGTAAACTCAGTGATCCTGCGTTTCCTACTATTGTCGCATCTGCAGATCACGCATCTGTTACATGGACTAAACCCCTTCATGTCAGAAAACAGGGAGACACAGGCTGGGGGATCTACCACATTAGGTGCTAAATTATGCCTAATAGATACAGCTTTCCTGAACATAATTTCAGGTCGTTCAGGCAAGATGTTACTCAGAATTGGATCAGAAAGTAAAATATCCCCAATTTCTCTTAATCAATCCACTAATGGCTTTATGCTGTATATTATAAGTAGTGACGAACGGGCAGACTTTAGTTTGAATAAGTCTGTGATTATCCTGTAACATAACTTCCCTATCAGAGTCCGCAACTGACTGTATTGTTTCCATCAGACTACTGCTACTGTAGCCCTTCTCCACAAATCTCTCCCTCAAGACCATAGCCTGGGAATAATACGCATCCAAGTTAGTACAGTTACGCCTTATCCTAGTAAATTGGCCCCGTGGAATGTTCGCTAACCAAGAAGGGTGATGACAGCTGTGCGTGGGGATGTAGCTATTACGGTCCGTGGACTTGAAAAAAGACTCCGTA